GAAAATATGGCATCTGTGCAGGACCGCCCTTTCCTGAAACCGCATTGTGGCTCCGCAAGCCTCTCCTCAGCGTGCCTGGCAAGGCGATGCTGAATAATCCTTGCCAGGACCTTTCCCGGCACACTGAGGAGTGAGATGCCCCTGTAGTTGTTACAGTCTGTGCGGTCCCCCTTCTTAAAAAGGGGGACCACCAGGGCATCCTTCCAATCCTGCGGAACCCGTCCAGTGGTCCAGACTGTTGTTATGATGTCATATAGGGCAGTCTGTGCACAAACGCCACCCTCCCTCAGCATTTCGCTTGGGAGATCATCTCTGCCCGCTGCCTTTCCTGGTCTCAGACTCCGGATCGCCTTCAATACTTCCTCAGCAGATGGCACCTCAGCCAGCCACTCACAGGGGGTGACTTCATCCAATATTTGAGGCACCGCAGCCTCAGCAGGGTCATCCTCACTTTGTGCCGCGATGTTTTCCTGGCTGAGGGATTTTCCCTCCCCCAGGACCTCACAGAAATGCTCAGCAAATCTGCGAACCTGTTCCTGGGGGTCGGAAATTGGATCACCGTTTTTTCCCCTAATGATGGTAATAGGTGTGGCGCTGCAGGTTACTTTTTTGATGGAGTTAAATAGAGATTTGTGATCACGGGCCACTGAGGCAGACTCCATCTCCTCAGCAACCCGCGACCACCACCCATCCTTGCAGCGCCTCACGGCTCTCCGAACCTCCGAGCGAAGGCTGCGGTAAGCCTCCTCATTCTCTGACGTGGGATTCTGTAGCCGATGACAGTGGGCCTGTCGCTTTTTCTCAACCATCCTGAACAACTCCTCTGTCATCCAGGGTGTCTGGGGAGGTCTGGACCGCGTACCCAAAGCAGCCATTGCAGCTGCATGAGTCACAGTCCTAAACCTCGCCCATTTACCCTCGACATCAGGAGGAGTCGGGGACGATGCCAATCCCAGCCGCAAGCGATGGTGAAATTCTCGCTTGCAACTTTCATCAGATAACTGAGACCAGGCCACTTTAGGTTGGAATGGGGTCCTGGGTGTACACCCACCACCGGAGTGGAAGAATGGCAGGCGCATCTTACAGATGACTAGTCGATGGTCAGAGGGCAGATCAGCTCCACGGTAGGTCCTGGTGTCAAGGACATGGGCTCGCATTCGCTGGTCCGTCACTATGTAGTCCAGCAGATGTTCTTGCTTGGACCCGGCATGCATCCATGATGTTGTGTGGATGCGCCGATGCCGGAACAGCGTGTTGGTAATTACAAGCCCATGGGCTGCACAAAAATCTAGCAGCCTCCTACCGTTGTTATTGAGCTGATCTGGCCCATGCCCTCCAATCACTCCAGACCAGGTGCCAGTATCATGACCAACTCGGGCATTGAAGTCACCCAACATGATGACTCTATCCCGAGGGGCCACTTTAGCCAGCACCTTTGACAGGAGGTCATAGAAGGCATCTGACTCATCGGCTTTGCCTGCATCCCTCCACGGATGTTCATCTTCGGTGGGGGCATAAGTAACCACGACCACCATTCCTCGCCTCCGGTTGATGGGAAGGCGAGCCCAAAGTAGCCTGGGGCTTACAGCTTCCCACACCTCACCGCCACGCTCCCACGCCCCCTTCATTCTTTTGTTCAAAAGAAGACCCACACCCTGTTGTTTGGCAGTCTGCTGCCCCGAGTAGAGGACTGTCCACCCACACACACACACACCTACACACGCACACACCTGTACACACACACACCCACACACACCTGTACACACCTGTACACACACACACACCTACACACACCTACACACACACACCTACACACCCACACACAACTGTACACACACCTACACACACCTGTACACACCTACACACACACACACCTACACACACACACCTTACACACCTGTACACACCTACACACACACACCTACACACACCTACACACACCTGTACACACACCTACACACACACCTACACACACACACACCTACACACACACCTACACACACACCTGTACACACCTACACCTACACACACCTACACACACACACCTGTACACACCTACACACACCTACCTACACACACACCTGTACACACACCTGTACACACCTACACACACCTGAACACACACACACCTACACACACCTACACACACACCTACACACACACACACCCACACACACACACACCTGTACACACACACTCCTACACACACCTGTACACACCTGTACACACCCACACACACCTGTACACACACCTACACACACACACCTACACACACCTACACACACACACCTACACACACACACACCTGTACACACACACCTACACACACCTGTACACACACCTAAACACACCTACACACACACACCTGAACACACACACACACCCACACACACCTGTACAAACCTACACACACACCTACACACACCTACACACACACACACCTACACACACACACCTACACACACCTACACACACACACACACACCTACACACGCACACACCTGTACACACACACACCCACACACACCTGTACACACCTGTACACACACACACACCTACACACACCTACACACACACCTACACACCCACACACACCTGTACACACACCTACACACACCTGTACACACCTACACACACACACCTACACACACACACCTTACACACCTGTACACACCTACACACACACCTACACACACCTACACACACCTGTACACACACCTACACACACCTACACACACACACCTACACACACACCTACACACACACCTGTACACACCTACACCTACACACACCTACACCTACACACACCTACACACACACACCTGTACACACCTACACACACCTACCTACACACACACCTGTACACACACCTGTACACACCTACACACACCTGAACACACACACACCTACACACACCTACACACACACCTACACACACACACACACCCACACACACACACACCTGTACACACACACTCCTACACACACCTGTACACACCTGTACACACCCACACACACCTGTACACACACCTACACACACACACCTACACACACACACCTACACACACCTACACACCTACACACACACACCTACACACACACACACCTGTACACACACCTGAACACACACACACACCCACACACACCTGTACAAACCTACACACACACACCTACACACACCTACACACACCTACACACACACACCTACACACACCTACACACACCTGTACACACCTACACACACACCTTACACACCTGTACACACACCTACACACACCTACACACACACCTACACACACACCTACACACACACCCACACACACCTGTACACACCTACACACACCTACACACACCTACACACACACCCACACACACACCTACACACACACACCTACACACACACACCTACACACACCTACACACACCTACACACACACCTGTACACACACACCTGTACACACACACACACACCTGTACACACACCTACACACACACACCTACACACACCCACACACACCTGTACACACCTACACACACACACCTACACACACCTACACACACACACCTACACACCCACACACACCTGTACACACACCTGTACACACACCTACACACACCTACACCTACACACACCTACACCTACACACACCTACACACACACACACCTACACACGCACACACCTGTACACACACCCACACACACCTGTACACACCTGTACACACACACCTACACACCCCTACACACACACACCTACACACCCACACACACCTGTACACACACCCACACACACCTGTACACACCTGTACACACACACCTACACACACCTACACACACACACCTACACACACACACCTTACACACCTGTACACACCTACACACACACACCTACACACACCTACACACACCTGTACACACACCTACACACACACCTACACACCTACACACACACCTACACACACACCTGTACACACCTACACCTACACACACCTACACACACACACCTGTACACACCTACACACACCTACCTACACACACACCTGTACACACACCTGTACACACCTACACACACCTGAACACACACACACCTACACACACCTACACACACACCTACACACACACACACACACCTGTACACACACACTCCTACACACACCTGTACACACCTGTACACACCCACACACACCTGTACACACACCTACACACACACACCTACACACACCTACACACCTACACACACACACCTACACACACACACCTGTACACACACCTACACACACCTGTACACACACCTAAACACACCTACACACACACACACCTGTACACACACCTGAACACACACCCACACACACCTGTACAAACCTACACACACACACCTACACACACCTACACACACACACACCTACACACACACACCTACACACACCTACACACACCTGTACACACCTACACACACACCTTACACACCTGTACACACACCTACACACACCTACACACACCTACACACACACCTACACACACACCTACACACACACTTACACACACACCCACACACACCTGTACACACCTACACACACCTACACACACCTACACACACACCTACACACACCTACACCTACACACACACCCACACACACCTGTACACACCTGTACACACCTACACACACCTACACCTGTACACACACACACACACACCTGTACACACACCTACACACACCTGTACACACCTGTACACACCTTACACACCTGTACACACCTACACACACACCTACACACACACCTACACACACACACCCACACACACACCTACATACACACACCTACACACACACCTACACACACCTGTACACACACACCTGTACACACCTGTACACACACCTTACACACCTGTACACACACCCACACACCTACACACACACACACCCACACACACACACCTGTACACACCTGTACACACCTTACACACCTGTACACACACCTGTACACACCTACCTGTGTACAGAGTGCTCTCTCCCTTGCTGCAGGAGCTATGTCGAAGGGTGTGCCTGAGATTGTGAAGGGGCAAGTGTTTGAGGTGGGCCCAAGGTACACGGGGCTCACCTACATTGGAGAGGGAGCCTACGGCATGGTCTGGTGAGGAGCACGTGCCTACCTCACAACGCTCACACTCACCTGGACACACACCTGTACACTCACTCACTCACCTGTACACACACCTGTACACTCGCTCGTACACTCACCGACACACTCACTCACCTGTACACACGCCTGTACACTCACTCACTCACTCACCTGGACACACACCTGTACACACACCTGTACACTCACATGTACAGACACCTGTACACACACCTGTACACTCGCTCGAACACTCACCGACACACTCACTCACTCGTACACTCACCTGTACACTCACTCACATGTACACTCACCTGTACACACACCTGTACACTCACTCACCTGTACACACACCTGTACACTCACTCACTCACATGTACACTCACCTGTACACTCACTCACTCACTCACATGTACACTCACCTGTACACACACCTGTACACTCGCTCGTACACTCACCGACACACGCACTCACTCGTACACTCACCTGTACACTCACATGTACACTCACCTGTACACTCACTCACCTGTACACACACCTGTACACTCGCTCGTACACTCACCTACACACTCACTCACTCGTACACTCACCTGTACACTCACATGTACACTCACCTGTACACTCACTCACCTATACACACACCTGTACACTCACTCACCTGTACACACGCCTGTACACTCCCTTGTACACTCACCGACACACTCACTCACTCGTGCACTCACCTGTACACTCACTCACCTGTACACTCAGTCACAAGTACACTCACCTGTACACTCACTCACCTATACACACACCTGTACACTCGCTCGTACACTCACCGACATACTCACTCACTCGTACACTCACCTGTACACTCACTCACTCACATGTACACTCACCTGTAAACTCACTCACCTGTACACACACCTGTACACTTACTCACTCACTCACCTATACACTCACCTGTACACTCACTCACATGTACACTCACCTGTACACTCACTCACTCACCTGTACACACACCTGTACACTCACTCACTCACCTATACACACACCTGTACACTCGCTCGTACACTCACCTACACACTCACTCACATGTACACTCACCTGTACACTCACTCACATGTACACTCACCTGTACACTCATTCACTCACATGTACACTCACCTGTACACTCACTCGTACACTCACCTACACACTCACTCACTCGTACACTCACCTGTACACTCACTCACCTGTACACTCACACACGTGTGTACACACACATACAACACGTGTGTACACACACATACAACACGTGTGTACACACATACAACACATGTACACACACATACAACACGTGTGTACACACACACACAACACATGTACACACACATACAACACGTGTGTACACACACATACAACACGTGTGTACACACACATACAACACGTGTATACACACATACAACACGTGTATACACACATACAACACGTGTATACACACAACACGTGTACACACACACACACACGTGTTGTGTGTGTACACACGTGTTGTGTGTACATGTGTTGTATGTGTGTACACACGTGTTGTATGTGTGTGTACACACGTGTTGTGTGTACACACACACACAACACGTGTGTACACACACAACACGTGTTGTGTGTGTGTGTACACACGTGTTGTATGTGTGTGTACACGTGTTGTATGTGTGTACACACGTGTTGTGTGTGTGTGTACACACGTGTTGTATGTGTGTACATGTGTTGTATGTGTGTACATGTGTTGTATGTGTGTACACACGTGTTGTATGTGTGTGTACATGTGTTGTATGTGTGTACACATACACCACGTGTTAGGGTGCGGCAGCGTGTCTGTACGAGGTAGTGGAGTCCAGAGTCTGAACGCTGTTAATGATTTATCACCGCGGGTGGAACCATATAGAGTACTGTACAACCTTGGGGTCATCACCACCATCACTATCAACATCATCACCATCACCACCATCACTATCAACATCATCACCATCACCACCATCATCATCAGCAGCAGTATCATCATCACCATCACCACCATCACTATCAACATCATCACCATCACCACCATCACTATCAACATCATCACCATCACCACCATCATCATCAGCAGCAGTATCATCATCACCATCACCACCATCACTATCAACATCATCACCATCACCACCATCACTATCAACATCATCACCATCACCACCATCATCATCAGCAGCAGTATCATCATCACCATCACCACCATCACTATCAACATCATCATCGCCATCACCACCATCATCATCAGCAGCAGTATCATCATCACCATCACCACCATCACTATCAACATCATCACCACCATCACCATCACCACTGCAAGTCACGTGACCTCCTCCTCATGCACCTAGCCTGGCACAGCAGTCAACCCATGGCACCTGTTGGGTCTGTCACGTGACCTCCTCATGCACCTAGCCTGGCACAGCAGTCAACCCATGACACCTGCTGAGTCTGTCACGTGATCTTCTCCTCATGCATGGCACGGGCGCTGTAGTAACGTTGTTGTTGTATGACGGTGTGTGTCACGTGACACAGGTGTGTGTGTCACGTGACACAGGTGTGTGTCACGTGCCACAGGTGTGTGTCACGTGACACAGGTGTGTGGCACGTGACACAGGTGTGTGTCACGTGACACAGGTGTGTGTGTCACGTGCCACAGGTGTGTGTGTCACGTGCCACAGGTGTGTGTGTCACGTGCCACAGATGTGTGGCACGTGCCACAGATGTGTGGCACGTGACACAGGTGTGTGTCACGTGACACAGGTGTGTGTCACGTGACACAGGTGTGTGTCACGTGACACACACCTGTGTCACGTGCCACAGATGTGTGGCACGTGACACAGGTGTGTGTCACGTGCCACAGGTGTGTGTGTCACGTGCCACAGGTGTGTGTGTCACGTGCCACAGGTGTGTGTCACGTGCCACAGATGTGTGGCACGTGACACAGGTGTGTGGCACGTGACACAGGTGTGTGTCACGTGACACAGGTGTGTGTGTCACGTGCCACAGGTGTGTGTGTCACGTGCCACAGGTGTGTGTCACGTGCCACAGATGTGTGGCACGTGACACAGGTGTGTGGCACGTGACACAGGTGTGTGTCACGTGACACAGGTGTGTGTGTCACGTGCCACAGGTGTGTGTGTCACGTGCCACAGGTGTGTGTCACGTGCCACAGATGTGTGGCACGTGACACAGGTGTGTGGCACGTGACACAGGTGTGTGTCAGGTGTGTGTCAGGTGTGTGTCACGTGACACAGGTGTGTGTCACGTGACACAGGTGTGTGTGTCACGTGACACAGGTGTGTGTGACAGTGATAACCAATCGCATTCCTGAACTCTGCTACCCCCACTCGTGCCTTGGCCTCCCTGGTAGCTCACCCCCCTCAACCCCTCCCCCCTCTCACCCCTCATCCCCCTTAACCCCTCCCCCTCAACCCCTCCCCCCTCTCACCCCTCCCCCTCAACCCCTCCCCCCTCTCACCCCTCACCCCCCTCAACCCCTCCCCCCTCTCACCCCTCCCCCTCAACCCCTCCCCCTCAACCCCTCCCCCCTCTCACCCTCCCCCCTCTCACCCTCCCCCTCAACCCCTCCCTCCCCCTCCCTCCCCCCCTCTCACCCCTCCCCCTCAACCCCTCCCCCTCAACCCCTCCCCCCTCTCACCCTCCCCCCTCTCACCCTCCCCCTCAACCCCTCCCTCCCCCTCCCTCCCCCCCTCTCACCCCTCCCCCTCAACCCCTCCCCCTCAACCCCTCCCTCCCCCTCCCTCCCCCCCTCTCACCCCTCCCCCTCAACCCCTCCCCCCTCCCTCCCTCTCCCTCCCCCACCCCCCCCCCTCCCCCCCCCCGCCCCCCCCCAGCTCTGCGCTGGACAGGTGTAGCGGTGTGCGTGTGGCCATCAAGAAGGTGAGCCCCTTCGAGCATCAAACCTACAGCCAGCGGACACTGCGTGAGATCAAGATCCTGCTGGGCTTCGCTCACGAGAACATCATCGCCATCAGGGATGTGCTGCGTGCACCTAGCCTGGCACTCATGAAGGACGTGTATCCTGCTCGCAGAGACACACACACAGAGACACAGAGACACACACAGACACACACAGACACACAGACACACACACAGACACACACACAGAGACACACACACACAGAGACACACACAGACACACACACAGAGACACACACACGACGCTTGTGCCAGGCTATGTGCACCCTGAGGCCACGTGAAGTGTCGAACGCCCGCTGGCAGGAGGTCACTGGGCAGACCCAGGTGCCACGGGTCGACTGACTGAGATGACTGGCTGATGCACCACCTGTGGCCCCTACTGTGCCAACCTGCTGTGCTTTAGCCACCCGGTGCTCCGCTCGTTGTTGTGAGCGTCGCTCCTCCGCCCTCCGTTGTTGTTGGAGGGGGACTGCCTCCAACTGCCCAGTAGCATCCTTCACGAGCCTCCTCCACAGAGGCCGATCTTGACACCGCTGGTACCAGTCATCGGCAAGTCCACTCAGCTCCACGTCCTCCTGTACCACAAACGCCACCCTCCCTCAGCATTTCGCTTGGGAGATCATCTTTGCCCCGTGCCTTTCCTGGTCTCAGACTCTGGATTGCCTTCAGTACTTCCTCAACAGATGGCACCTCAGCCAGCCACTCACAGGGGGTGACTTCTTCCAATATTTGAGGTACCGCAGCCTCAGCAGGGTCATCCCCACTTTGTGCCACGATGTTTTCCAGGCTGAGGGATTTTCCCTCCCCCAAGACCTCACAGAAATGCTCAGCAAATCTGCAAACCTGTTCCTGGGGATCAGAGATTGGATCACCGTTCTTTCCCCTAATGATGGTAATAGGTGTGGCGCTGCAGGTTACTTTTTGATGGAGTTAAATAGAGATTTGTGATCACGGGCCATTGAGGCAGATTCCATTTCCTCAGCAACCCGCGACCACCACCCATCCTTGCAGTGCCTCACGGCTCTCCGAACCTCCGAGCGAAGGCTGCGGTAAGCCTCCTCATTCTCTGACGTGGGATTCTGTAGCCGATGACAGTGGGCCTGTCGCTTTTTCTCAGCCAACCTGAACACCTCCTCTGTCAGCCAGGGTCTCTGGGGAGGTCTGGACCGCGTACCCAAAGCAGCCATTGCAGCTGCATGAGCCACAGTCCTAAACCTCGCCCATTTCCCCTCGACATCTGGAGGAGTGGGGGACGATGCCAACCCCAGCCGCAAGCGATGATGAAATTCTCGCTTGCAACTTTCATCAGCTAGCTGAGACCAGGCCACCCACCACCGGAGTGGAAGAATGGCAGGCACATCTTACAGATGACTAGTCGATGGTCAGAGGGCAGATCAGCTCCACGGTAGGTCCTGGTGTCAAGGACATGGGCCCGCATCCGTTGTTCTGTCACTATGTAGTCCAGCAGATGTTCTTGCTTGGACCCGGCTTGCATCCATGATGTTGTGTGGATGTGCCGATGCCGGAACAGCGTGTTGGTAATTACAAGCCCATGGGCTGCAAAAAAATCTAGCAGCCTCCTTCCGTTGTTATTGAGCTGATCTGGCCCATGCCTTCCAATCACTCCAGACCAAGTGCCAGCATCATGACCAACTCGGGCATTGAAGTCACCCAACAAGATGACTCTATCCCGAGGGGCCACTTTAGCTAGCACCTGTGATAGGAGGTCATAGAAGGCATCTGACTCATCGGCCTTACCTGCATCCCTCCACGGATGTTCGTCTTCGGTGGGGGCATAAGTAACCACGACCACCACTCCTCGCCTCCGGTTGATGGGCAGGCGAGCCCAAAGTAGCCTGGGGCTTACCTATTCCCACCTCACCGCCACGCTCCCACGCCCCCTTCATTCTTTTATTCAGAAGAAGAGCCACTCCCTGTTGTTTGGTAGTCTCCTGCCCCGAGTAGAGGACTGTCCACCCCTCATGGTGGCAGAAGCCAGAGCCGGTCCACCGGACCTCCTGAATACCGCAGAGATCCAGGCGGTACCGGTCCAGCTCCCGACAGAGGAGTGGCAGCCTCACCTCCGCAGTGAGCGTTCGAACATTCCACGTGGCCACCCGTAGTGGCTATTCGTTGTTTCTGGAGGAGCCCCGAGGGTAGAGATTCAATCTCCTGGCTCCGCCAATTGGGGTTTAGCCAGGAGACGTCATAGACGCCTGGCCCCCTGGGGCCTCCGGCACAAGCTTATTAGTTAGATATTTTAGACGTGGTTTAGTGGTAATTAATTGAAGGTGGAGGAGTCACCAGCCCCTCGCACCCGTCCAGAGCCCCCGTTTAGCCACTGTGGTGGCTACAGACGCCATGAAGGGAGAGGCCACTCTAAGTTGGCCTTCCCCCCACGGCACTGCCCACCACAGCGTTGCCTTCCAGCACCACGAGGAGGTAGGTGGTTGTTTTTGCCAGACTACACACACACACAGTGACACTCACACACACAACAACAACAACAACCGCCATTCGCCACTAAGTGGCGGTGACATCACCACGACGCTTGTGCCAGGCCATGTGCACCCTGAGGCCACGTGAAGTGTCGAACGCCCGCTGGCAGGAGGTCACGGGGCAGACCCAGCAGGTGCCACGGGTCGACTGACTGAGATGACTGGCTGATGCACCACCTGTGCCCCCTACTGTGCCAACCTGCTGTGCTTTAGCCACCTGGCGCTCCGCTCGTTGTTGTGAGCGTCGCTCCTCCGCCCTCCGTTGTTGTTGGAGGGGGACTGCCTCCAACTGCCCAGTAGCGTCCTTCACGAGCCTCCTCCACTGAGGCCGATCTTGACACCGCTGGTACCAGTCATCGGCAAGTCCACTCAGCTCCACGTCCTCCTGTACCACATCACTCCATCTCCTCTCTAGCCCATGCCGCGCCCGTTTAGCCCCCTCTATCCGGCCGAACAAAAGCTGTTTAGGCATGCGGTGGCTGGGCATGCGGGCTACATGACCCAGCCATCGCAGCCTTGCCTGCCGGAGGAGCTCACCGATGGGACCCTGCCCAGATCTTTCAAGGATTTGTGAGCTCCTCATACAATCCAGTCTGGTTAAACCCAGGATGGATCGTAGGCAGGCCAGCCTAAATGTTTCTAACCGGCGAAGATGTTCCATTAGGGGGGTCCACGTTTCGCAAGCGTAGAGAAGGGAGGGAATGACCGTGGCCGAGAAGAACTGAAGCTTAGTACGGAGCGACAGACCAGGTAGCTTCCACACAGCGTTACGCAACCGATGAAAAGATATTGCCGCTCGACTGATTCGGAGTGAGACCTCTGCTGTTAAACTGGAGCCGGTCATAAGCACACTGCCCAGGTATGAGAAACTCTCCACTCTCTCCACATCTGCCCTATCACCAATTGGGAGTTGTGGGGGTGGAGTGTCTGATGGTACAAAATACCCAGGCAGGTGCTTAGTTTTGGTGGGGCTGATGGTAAGGCCCCACCTCTTAGTGGCACGCTCCAGTTTCACACACACACACAGACACACACACACGCAGGTTTATTTAACGGTAACGAACGGTAACGATGATGGGACAAATGTCAACATTCAACACACACAGACACACACACACAGACACACACACAGACACACACACACACAGACACACACAGAGACACAGACACACACACAGACACAGACGCACACACAGACACACACACAGACACACAGACACACACACACAGACACACACACACACAGACACACACACACAGACACACACACAGACACACACACAGACACACACACAGACACACACACAGACACACACAGCTGTCAACACTCTCAGTCTGTCTCTTAGCCTCGCCCACACAAACTTGCTGGGGGTGCATTGGTGTTTGGATTGGTGGGTGGATTGGTGGGTGGATTGGTGTGTGGATTGGTGGGTGAGTGTTTGGATTGGTGGGTGGATTGGTGTTTGAGTGGATGGGTGGGTGTTTGGATTGGTGGGTGGGTGGATTGGTGGGTAGGTGTTTGGATTGGTGGTTGGGTGGATGGGTGGGTGTTTGGATTTGTGGGTGGATGGGTGGGTGGATTGGTGGGTAGGTGTTTGGATTGGTGGGTGGATTGGTGGATGGGTGGGTGAATGGGTGGGTGTTTGTATTGGTGGGTAGGTGGATTGGTGGGTGGGTGTTTGTATTGGTGGGTGGATTGGTGGTTGAGTGGATGGGTGGGTGTTTGGATTGGTGGGTGGATTGGTGGGTAGGTGTTTGGATTGGTGGGTGGATTGGTGGTTGGGTGGATGGGTGGGTGAATGGGTGGGTGTTTGGATTGGTGGGTAGGTGGATTGGTGGGTGGATTGGTGGGTGGGTGTTTGTATTGATGGGTGGATTGGTGTTTGAGTGGATGGGTGGGTGTTTGGATTGGTGGGTGGATGGGTGGGTGGATTGGTGGGTAGGTGTTTGGATTGGTGGGTGGATTGGTGGTTGGGTGGATGGGTGGGAGAATGGGTGGGTGTTTGGATTGGTGGGTAGGTGGATTGGTGGGTGGATTGGTGGGTGGGTGTTTGTATTGGTGGGTGGATTGGTGTTTGAGTGGATGGGTGGGTGTTTGGATTGGTGGGTGGGTGGATTGGTGGGTAGGTGTTTGGATTGGTGGGTGGATTGGTGGTTGGGTGGATGGGTGGGTGAATGGGTGGGTGTTTGGATTGGTGGGTAGGTGGATTGGTGGGTGGATTGGTGGGTGGGTGTTTGTATTGGTGGGCGGATTGGTGGTTGAGTGGATGGGTGGGTGTTTGGATTGGTGGGTGGATGGGTGGGTGGAATGGTGGGTAGGTGTTTGGATTGGTGGGTGGATTGGTGGTTGGGTGGATGGGTGGGCGAATGGGTGGGTGTTTGGATTGGTGGGTAGGTAGATTGGTGGGTAGGTAGATTGGTGGGTGGATTGGTGGGTGGGTGTTTGTATTGGTGGGTAGGTAGATTGGTATGTGGATTGGTGGGTGGGTGTTTGTATTGGTGGGCGGATTGGTGGTTGAGTGGATGGGTGGGTGTTTGGATTGGTGGGTGGATGGGTGGGTGGAATGGTGGGTAGGTGTTTGGATTGGTGGGTGGATTGG